AGGAAGCTTCCAGGCAAGAGCCTGGAAGTTTCCCTGTAGGGAAACAGGCTGGAGCCTGTAGGTCCTTTCTCGGGCTGTCAGGCTGAACCGTCGGCAGGGCCTGTAAGCCTTGGATATCAGGCTTAAAGCCTGAAATTCAGGTTTTTGGCCTGAACGACGTCGGGCCTGCAAAATGGCCCGTGTGTGCACGTGCAACATGTAACACCCCCCCCTCCTTATGAAGTCAAGCCGGGGCGAGGGCGAAGCCGTCGATCTGAAGGTGGAACCTGGACGCGGGCGTTCAAGTGGGCCGCGATCTTGGAGTAGCCTTCGATGAAGCGTTGATAGTAGCCGGTAAGACCAAAGAACGAGCGAACGTCCGTGACGTTCCGAGGCTCCGGCCACTCCTGGACGGCCTGAATCTTGTCCGATAGCGGACTGATGCCCTCCACTGTGACAAAATGGCCCAAGTATTCCAGCTCCTGCCGGGCAAATTCACACTTGTCGCGGTTGGCCTTGTACTTGGCGCGGTGGAGCGTCTCCAACACTCGTCGAAGGTGCCCCAGATGATCCTCCAATGACCGGCTGTAGACGAGAATATCGTCTAAGTAGACCAGCACGAACCGGTCCAACATTGCACGGAACTCGTTGGTCATCGCCGCCTRGAACGTCGCCGGGGCRTTGGTGAGGCCAAAAGGCATGMCCAMCCACTCAAAATGCYCGTACYGTRTCTTGAACGCSGTCTTGTAGCGATCGTGCGGCTGGATCGAGATTTGATGATATCCCGATTTCAAATCCAACTTGGAAAAATACTTTGCGCCGCCCAGTCGCTCGAGAAGATCGTCGATGCGAGGAAGAGGCCCCGCATTCTTGATGGTTTGCGCGTTGAGCTTGCGGTAGTCGATACACAATCGTAGATCCTTGTTCTTCTTCCAGACGAAGAGAACAGATGCTCCATATGGGGAGCTGCTCGGGCGGATCCAGCCTTTGGCCAACAAATCATCGAGTTGTGCGCGGAGTACCTCAAGCTCCTCCTCGCTCATCCGATAGATGCAACCTTTCGGCGGCACAGCACCGGCCTCAAGAATGATCTCGTGAGAGATCGGCCGATCCGGCACCACACCGGTAGGTGACTCGAAGATATCGGCGAACTCGTCCAGCAACCGCACCACACGGGGGTCCGAAGACAAGTCCGTGGGGGAAGAGTCGGCTACCGCGACGGTCTGTAGGAAACATAGGCCGATCTCATCGGGCTGCTCATAGGCACAAGTCGCCTGGAATGATTTGGCCGTTACCACTTGGCACCGGATCGAAGAGTGCGGTAGAGGAACAGTACACGCCACTTCCGCGCCGAAGGCGTCACGAATGCTAAGAGTCCGCCGATGGAAGTTGACCGTGTGATCCGCACTTGCAAGCCAAGGCATTCCCAGAATGATGTCGAAGTCCGTGTCGAGAATATCGAACGTGACTGGTTCGCATGCATGAGGTGCGAAGTAGACCGGTACGGCCTCGATGTAACGGTCGAGAAGTTGTTGCGTCTTACCATCCGCCAACTTGATCGCCGTCGGGTTTGCCTTCCTCCGAACTTGTGCACCAAGGCCAGCCCTTTTCATAAAAGACTGGCTCATGAAGTTGCGAGACGCGCCGCTATCCAGCAAAGCGCTGCAGGACGCTTGCCCAAC